TACGAGGAAATTGTTTCGATGATCTCATGCACAACAATGATACAAATCAACAAAAATAGACAGATCGCTAAACATACACGGTTAATACTTGTCACACGGCAAAAATACAAACGGTAGAAGCATTACACTGCATGACTACATATGGCAAAAGCGAACGGTCAAAATTAAATAGTGTTAATTAAGAGGATGATATTAAGAACAATGGTAATAATTTAAGAATATCTTATTAAGGAGGATGATCTTAAGAGTGATAATAAGACAAAAGCAGTCAATGATTAAGTGAAAGCAGGGACAACTTTAAATTCATATAATAGATCAATAGAGTAGAATAACTGATCATAGATGTCATTTTTATCACAATATACAAGAAAATATTTAGATAAATGTATACTTTTATTCAAGTGAATATAAAATGAATTATTTATTTAGTAATAGAATAGAATTAAATTCTTTTTTTAATAATCAAATAAAACTGAAAAATTATAATTTCTATCACCTTGAACTTTAGATCTTTAAATACATTATTAGTTTTGGCTATGTTTACACTACTCTCGCTATGTTTATACAACTCTGGCTATGTATACACACCCATTGTCGAAGCAACTCCCTTGTGTTCATACCAGTAGGTTATTGTAACTAGGGCTGTAAATTTATAGCAAATTTTATTTTTTTATAAAAAGTAAGTTATAAGTATATAACTTACATATAAGTATATAAGTTAAATAATATAATAATACTGTATAATATAACTATAATTTTTGCTAGAAAAATGATTCTCTAGAGCTAAATAGATTTAATAAATAAAAGTTAAATTTGTTAACTTTTCAATAATCTAATTTAAATAAAAATTTTTATTTATTTTATAAAGCTTAGTAGTTTTATAATTTGCATTGTCTTAAAGAAACAAGTTTTTATTGCATCATATATGAGTGTGCTAAAAGGAAACCTGAAAATTTAAATATAAGTCATATTTAAATTTTTAGGTTTTCTTTTAGCTACACTCATATATACTAAACATGATATAAGTATACATTAATCTGATTGGTCAATTTATTGTACATATTATAGTATATATAATAACTTACCATACATTGCAAATTTTGGATGTAATTTACATGTAACTTACATGTAAGGTAAGTATGTAAGTTACAACCTTACAACCCTAATTGTAACAAGTCCCAACAGCTACGCCTACATCCCTACGGCTACGTTTACTTAGCTCTATTCTCTAGGCCTTTTACTTGTGATTATGCAAGCAGCCGATTGTAACAGGTTCAAACGGCTACGTTTACATATCCACTGTCGCGTTCTACGCGCTTCAAGTAACATTCATATGATTAAGCCACCAAGCAACCCATCATTACCGTAATAAATTGGACGTTGTGGATGGTGGAATTACAAATAAATTATGTTCATGTGGGTGATTTACCGACAAAAAGTAAAGGCTTTATTACAAAAATATAGAAATTTACATTTTAATGTATCAAAATACGGCACATGCCGTAACCGTATTAATTTACCAAATGAATTCTACCACCAACTATACCCAGAATAGTACAGCAATTATAACCCTCGACAGGTTGAGACCAACTTGATTCTGTGTTTTACATTACTCCCAGCGTCCCCCTCCCTCATAGTAAAAAAAATTTAGATAAATATATAGGGTTTTGGTCTATTTCGGAAATTTTTTTATATAGTCACGGAACAATTCGGAACTTTTTTTTATCGAAAAAAATTTTTTTAAAAATTTTACTATGTAAACCACAAATCCTCCCCCCCCCCCTTCCGGAGGGGGTAATGTAAAACACAGAATCAAGTTGGTCTCGCCTTAATTCAAGTTAATTGAACTACAGGCAAAGGCAGCTGTAAGTACACGTCAAGAGAGGTTATCCTACTGCAACGGGCAAATATTCGTAACCCAGCCTCTCCCTCTTGAACCAGAACCTGATATTTTCATTACAATTACTAAATTCTATTATTTATGTTTTCTCATTGACGACCAGCCTGCATTATGTAGGCGGGAAACTACCGGTCAATTCTACGTATACAACACAAATACAACAGTTTATGGTGTTGTCCAGCGCAATCTTGATTGTTATTTCTGACATATCCGTTTCAGGTTTAATTATGCATAAATCATAATGATAACTGCGTTCATTTAATAAAAAACTTATCCCCGGAATACCAGGACAAATTATTCCAAATTGAAGTTAGAAATGACTTTTATAGTGATTTTTTGCTACGTAGTGAAACATTACTTTCCCAAAAAGTACTTTAAAGCGAATAAAATAAATTACCTGAGAAATTGATTTACATTAGCAATTACAGTATACGAAAATCTTTTTTATAAGCCTGTATCAAGTTGTATAACAATTTAATTATGTAAAATGCAACGAATTCCTTGTTTAAAATAATCTAATCCTTATAAGATTATCAATATAATAAATATGCATGAAAAATATAATAAAGAAGTTTAGATTAAATAATCATTAATTAAATTACAATTATTAATTACGTATCACATTTTAGGAATAATGTACTGCGGTGTTATAAAATCAATTACAGGAAGCATTTACAAGAATTAAATACATTAAAGCTTACAACTAAAAAATAACATATAGATTCTCAAATTGCGATAATATGACAAATTTAATAGTAAATTTGAGTGTTGGTCAATTGGCGGCGATACTCGGTGCTATTAATTTTGGTTTACCTCTCATTATTACTGGAGTTGGTGTTGTAGTGATAATGCTGAACGTTAGTGATAATGCTGAACGTTAGTGATAAAATGACAGCTTTAGAATGGACAATATTAAGTAAATTAACAGAACATAGTTTACTTAGTTTTTATGGAGCAGCTGGACAACCTGCATTAACAGGAATTAAATTATGGAAAGTAGGGACATACAAGCGTAATTTGTTTTACATACTTATTGGAATAAGTTTACTAACATTATTTGGAGCAACTGCAATCGCACCGCTTGGCATTCAGACTTGTACTATAATGTATGATGCAGCATCAATAGAAACTAGTGTTGTTAAGCCAGATCTACTTAGCCTTATGATTAATAACACATTTTCTCCAAAAGAATTGTTACAAGTTAGAATATGTGATGAATTTACTCAAATGCTATGTCCTGGAATGGTAGATAAGGTACATGTCAATGAATCATACCTGGAGGACTTTAATAAGACGTATAGTGAGATATCGTCTATTGCAGACTAGTAATTATAATAATTTCACACATCCCCATTATGATTTTATTATGGTATGGTAACAAGTACACAAACTGGTTATAGTATTGTTGATACGATGATTGTGGATCATGATAATGGTGGATTTTTAGTGAATCATGCGATCCAACCTAAGCAAGAGGTTGGTAAGAAATACAGCTGGTCAATTAAAGGTCTATGGTTACAACTTTATATTATTTGTAAATCAACTAATATTACTCGAATTGGATGGCAAAATGGGACATATACCTATGCAGCAAAACTAGTCATTAATAAAACTGATGTATATCCTTATCCTTCGCAATTACATCCACTTGGTGATATGGGCCAAAATATGGATCTTTTATCAAGAAGCATTACGTACAGTCAATTTATACAATCTAGTATTATGCAAAAAATGAATATGTCCATTAATGGAACTTTTATCGAATCAAAAGATTATAGTGGTGGGTTGTTATCGAAAGTTTTTCAATTGAAAAGTATTAGTGAAGAAAATAGTTTTTTTACCTACATGAATTCAACAGATATAAAATTATCATGTACAGGATTTAAACAGACTGATAACTTTTCTGATAATGCAATTGGTGTTGGATGTTGGACAATATATGGTCCACCTAATTTTACTGAAAGAGGAATGGAACAAATATTGTATGGATGTGCGGCTGCAGTTAAAGCTAGTGTAGAGGTTATCAATATGCAATCGAACTCGACAGGTGGAATTAATGTATTGGACAAACAAACCATTCCGATGAAATGGTATATTGAAAAATCTAACCTTACTATTTCTAGAATAGATCCTTGGTGGGGTAGAGTTGAATTTGAAGAAAACATTCCAAATAACAGCATATCAGTAAGTGAAAAGAGTCTTTGGTTACCAACAAGCAAAACGTTCATTTGGAGTTCTACTGATGATGCACAAACTGCCGGTGTGGCTGGTCTAGTGATTAACATCATGACTAATGATCTCTTTCAAGGTAAAAATAATTATAGACTAGATGGTGTTGGAAATTTAGCACTGCTACAACAATGGAGAGAGAAGGGCACAACTGAAGAAGGCATAAGCGGAATGTACAAACGACAAATGACTGATATTATGATCAATATGGTGACACCCACTAGGCAAGCTACTATTAGTGGTCCTATCCAGATTATGACAGAAAAAACTTGTTATGACTTACGCTATAGTATTCAATATTGTATAGCTATAATATTGTTGATAATGATTTTATGTTTATTGTTTGTATCCATAATAAATCGCGAAAATGCGATATCATTATCAATTAAACAGATTGTTCAACATATGGATCTCGGTAGAGCAGTACTAAACATATTAGGACATTCAGAGGCTAATACTGCAAGTGCTTCAAATTGGGAAAAAATTGATGGTCAAAAGTTTATATCATTGGATAATAATAGTTTTAAAAAATTCTTTTAACAGCTATATTTGATTGTATATGTAGTACGTTAGAATGGAATTATTGAGAGTTTAGAATCCACCTTCCAAATAAGCATAGGTTGTAACAAAATTCTAAATGTACCTTCTTAATGTACCTTCTTAATGTACCTTCTAAATGATTTCTAAATGTCCCGTATCATTAAAGAATACAAATTCAAGGATTTAAATTATATCGAGTACCGTAAATGGGCATAGAAAATTTTTTAAATCACGTGCATTACGTATCACATGATGTATAAATAATAATTTAAAAATTGATCTACATGCAATCGCTACTTCATTCGTTTAAAAATTTTCAAATAAATGAAAATTTTTTTCGATAGAAAGACTTATTTGGCTTCGTAACTTTGTTCTTTGAAACTTAACCTTAATGTGTGCAAAATTCGGATTTATAATACCAGTTTTAAGGGCTGTACATCTAATTAAATTTTCGGGAAGATTGAAGATCAAGGAACCCAGTGATATATTCGTGGTCATCACATTGCATAATTAATTATTCGGCCTAAGTTAAGGTTAGTGTTAGCGTTAGGGTCAGGTGATAGTATAGTTTAGGCCAGATTTGTTAGTGCAGGTAAACAAATGACGTCATTGAATAATTTTCATGTAACGTGATAATCACTGGGTTCCTTGATCTTCACATATCAATTGACTAAAATCTTCAATATTAAAGTTTATTTAGCACCATATATAGTTTTGATTTACATAGTTTATCGCACACTCCACTGCTCCATTGTAAAATTTGGCTCAGGAACATTTTTCATTTAATGAACAGCTGTAGTTTCATTTGTAGAATTTTGCGCAAATTTGGCCTAATTCTTTTTTTGCCGCGCATTTTGTGCGCGACAGCTAGGTTCAATTATTAAACGGTTACACAAAACAAATTTTGTAAATATGAAAATTCAACAATATTAGATATATTTGATATTACGTATCATTACACAAATTACATAGTAAATTAATAACAGATGCCCGATTTGTCACATCTAAAATTTTGTCATATGATTTTCATAAATTACACAAATCGACGAAATTACATTTTTAAAAATTTTACCTAAAAGCTTAGTTAAAGTACACTACGTTCGCTAAGACAAAATTATTGCTGAAGTTTCTACGAGCTAAAAGGTATCAAAAACATAAGAAACGAACTTCTCCTTATAAAATAACATACTCTTGAACATAAGCTATTATATTTTGTCTGTTTCCGCCGCATTCTTTTCAGGTTTGCAAATTCATCGTCAAAGAAGTATTTCACTAGACGCGTCTTAACGAGAGCTTTCGGCAAAATCAAACTTTGAAATGCTGGTGCATTATCAAAGTAACGAAAAAAATCAAGGAAAACTGTTTTGCCGTATGTAGATCACCTATTAATTTGACATAATTGATATATTTAAGCTATTCACTTTCGCTAATACTTATCATTTCACTAACTTTTTTATTTAATTGAATCCATATTTTGTTTCTATAGGTTTATTGATTATGCACTTTTTAAATTATTTGGCTTGGTGCTAGAAAAAGGGTCGAAAGTGACAAAAATAAATCCCTCACAAAAAATTAATTATCTCATGAACTGTTGATCAGAATCATATATTTTTTGTACCGTTCGATTCGTCTCATCAAGACGAATCGAATGGTACCAAAATTATGTGATTCTGATCAATAGTTCATGAGATAATTAATTTTTTGTGAGGGATTATTTTTGTCAATTTCAATCTTTTTCCCGATACCAAGTCCATTTATTAATTAATGCATTTAAGATATTATTAAAGAATCATGTAATTTTTAATAAAAAAAAAATAAATTTACATTATTTTTTTGTTTTTTGTTTTTTTTTTTGAATCACAATCATATTTCGAATTACAGCTATATCTTAGTTTTAATCTATGATCTAACTAATCCAACCTAACGATATTTAATATAATAAATTCACAAAGCTAACGTCGTCCATAATAAAGTTGGTTTAACCTGTTCGAATTTTAATAAATTGTTTTTTTTTAGTAATAGATTCGGTTTTAAGTCATTGAATTTTAAACTACTAGTAGTAATTCAAGTTCAACTACGTAGTTTAAAATTTTTTCTAATGGCAAGATTTCTAAACCCTAAAAAGTTTTGTTTAAAATTAAAACTCATACCTTGTGATCATAGCTTGTAATCTTTTATAAAAGTTTTAGTAGTTTGTAGTTTTTAAATATGCTTGGTAAGTTTATAAAAACCAATAACAAGCGAATACTATATATAAAAAATGAAATGAAAGGCCAACTTCAAGGGCCGCATTCTTTTCACAGTTATTA